CAAAATAATAGGTATTATTATGACATTTCTACAGATATATGCCACACACTGATTCTTTTCTCCCCCATTACCCTTACTTGTCTCTCCATTTGATTTCCACCTTCAATACTCTTTTTTTTGTTTCATGACTTTTTGTTTATTCACTTTGTTTGTATGTATCTATATTTCACATGTGAGAGAAAACATGAATCATTTGTCTCTGTCAGTCTACCTTATATCATTTGACATGTTGACCTTGATTTCTATCCATTTCCCAGGAAACAACATAATTTCATTCCTTTTATTACTGAGTAATGTTCTACTATATGTAGATACTATATTTGCTTTGTCCATTCTTCTACTGATGAACTTTTAGGCTGATTCCATAACTTGGCTATTGTAACTTGTGATACCATAGACATGAGTATGCAGGGATCTCTAACTGACTTACATTTTTCTCACTTATATCCCCAGAATAGTAGAGCAGGATCATATGGTTGTTCTGTCTTTAGGTTTTTATTTCCATACTGATTTCCACAGTTTTTGCACTAATTTACATTCCCACCACCAATATATAAGATTCTTTGATCCCCACATAAGAATGAGTTGTTTGAGAGTATAAGTAATGCCTAAATAAATAAGCTAAAAGGTGTCACTACAGCTGGATTTTTGAAAGAAAATGGACGTGTGAGAATAGGCTATGCATCCTAAAAAAAAAAGAATGGCACCTTAGGATTGCATTAGTTTATATGCCATTTTATATTGCCTGCACTTTAATCTCCAAAGAAGTAATGTATGGTGTCCCCATTGTTTCTTATTATTAATGAGCTTTTTCCTAAGACAGGGCACTTAATTCTATTTTACTATACTGCATTAGTTTCTTGGAGATGGATTCTGTTTTTGAGTTCTCTGTTTCCTTAAGCCATAATGTTCTCTGGATCTGGGAACTCCCTCTTGTTTATTTCCAACAGAATATAATTTTAATTTAATGTAATATAAGTCATACTTAGTGATCAGCATATGCATATGGCCTCTTCTAGCAATGAGTACCCAATTCTTACATGTATCAAACCCTTAAAAATACATACTGTAAGATTTGAAGGCAAGAATAAAAGTCCTGAAAGGAAATGCCCTGTATGATGCAATTGCTTAGAAATGGTTGATTCTAACAGGAAACCCGATGAACATGCTGTCCAGTTCTTGACTCAGAATCTTTCTAAATTCTTTGATAAGGACACAAAAGTTCTAAGTTAAAACTGTTGATAGTCTGTCATCTGCAGGAAGTCATTACTTTCACCAAGCACTGATTCCACAAAATGACATTAACAGTTGTTGCCTACCATGATTCTCCCTTTGAATAGAATACAGGCAGATGGGTGATCAGTAGGACGGCCTCAGATAATGTTGGCCTTTTGTAAATTCTTAAGACTATTTGGTAGATTTCCGAACTTAGAGAGTAAATCTAGATCTTTTCTGTTGTGTCAGAAGAAAACCATGAGGTTTAGAAGTATACTTATCATGGGTCTGGGAAGGTGGCTCAGTGGTAGAGTGCTTGCCTTGCGTGCATGAGACTCTGAGTTCGATTCCTCAGCACCACATAAGCAGAAAAAGCTGGAAGTGGCGCTGTAGCTCAAGTGGTAGAGCACTAGCCTTGAGTTCAGGCCCCACAACCCCCCCCCCAAAAAAAATATATTTATCTTAATAGGTCTATTGCCAAAGTCTAATGATCCATATTCAAAACTACCAAAAGGTTCAAGGTGTTGAAAATTCCTTTATGTGGTACCCTGTCTGTTTAACTTACGCTTCTGAGCAACACTAATCACTAGATTACCTTCTGGAGTTTTAATTGTTATAATCTAATCAACCATTGAACACAGAAAACACCTCAGGGTCACACAGCAGAATACTGAAATAAATGTGTTGTTACCAGTGTGTGTGGGGGGGGGGGGGGGGGGAGATGAGATGTTTGTTTTTTCTCTTTTTTTTTTTTTTCCTGGTCTCGGGGCTTGAACTCAGGTCCTGGGCTTTTGTGCTCAAGGGTGGTACTCTACCACTTGAGCAATAGCTCCACTTCTGATTTTTTTGGTGGTTAATTGGATATAAGAGTCTTACAAGCTTTCCTGCCAAAGCTGACTTTGAACTCTGATCCTCAGATCTCAGCCTCCTAAGTGGCTAGTATTACAAGTTTGAGACTCCAGTGCTGGGCCAAATTGTTCTTGATGATTGTAATTCTGACTAGACTGAGATAGAATCTCCTTGTCAGTTTGATTTGTATTTCCTTTATAGCTGAAGGATGTTGAGTATTTCTTTGTGTTATTATTATCCATTCATACTTCTTTTTGCCTCTCTCTCTTTTTCCCTTCTCTCTCTCTCTCTTTCTCTGTCATTTGTGGAGCTTCAACTCATGGCCTGGGTGTTGTCCTTGAGGTTTCTTTTCGCTTAAAACTAGCACTCTACCACTTGAGCCACAACTCTACTTCTGGTTATTAGGTGGTTAATTGGAGATAAGAGCCTCACAGACTTTCTTACCTAATTGGCTATGAACCATGATCCTCAGATCTTAGCCTCCTGAGTAGTTAGGATTACAGGTGTGGGCCACCAGTGCCCAGCTATATACTTACTTCTTTTGAGAAATGTTTGTTCAATTCATTTATCCAATTTACTAATGCAACTTTTTTGCTGTTGAATTTTGGAGTGCCTCATATATTCTCTTATATTAATCCCGTGGCTGATGTGTAATTGGCAAAGATTTTCTCAAATTCTGTAGGCTGTCTTTTCATTCTAGTCATTGTTTCTTTTAATGTATAGAAACCTTATAATTTAATACAACGCCGTTTGTCAATTCTTGTTCATATTTCCTGCGTCACTGAAGTCCTTTCCAGAAAGCTGTTGCTTATGCCTATATTTTGAAAGGTTTTTTTTTTCTGTTTTTATCTCTGATCATTTCTAAGTTTGAGGACTTACATTAAGATCCAGTTGAAGTTGATTGTTGTACAGGGATCTAGTTCCATCTTCTATATGTAGACATCAGATATCCCTAAAATATTATCTTTTCTCCAAACTATGATGTTGGCACATTTGTCAGAAAAATCAGTTGGCTATAGCTGCATGGGCTTATTTCTGGATCTTCTATTCCACTGGTTTCTTTCGGGTTTTGTGTATGTACTTAGCTATTTTTGTCATGTAGTTCTGTGGTATAATTTTAAGTATTTATTGTGATACCACTTGGCATTGCCCCTTTTGCTCAGGACCACTTTAGCTATTTTTGATGCTTTATGCTTCCATATTTATTTTAGGCTTGATTTTTTTTGTGAAAAATGCCATGGACTGTTAATGGGTATTACACTAAATTTATAGATTGCTTTCAGTGATACAGCCATTTTTATCATATCAGTGCTGCCAAATCTTGAACATAATAGCACTTTCCATAGAATGTATTATTCAGTTTCTTTCTTTAGTGTTTTATCACTTTCATTTTGGAAATCTTTCTTTGGTGAGGTTTATTCCTAAGTTGATTTTTTTGAGGCTCTTATGAATGGGCTTGTTTTCCTGATTTATTTCTCAGCATGTTTATTGTTGAGGTGAGTTTTATATTAACTAACAGAGGAGTAATAAGAGATGTAAAGATAGCCCAGGCTTCAGGTTTGGGATATTACTGTTAATTTGACCCATGAGTGAGAAGTTGTGTAACGATTTAGACCACCTTAGGGTGAGAGGAGTGTCAAAGAATGGAAATTCCAAGAGAAGTGCCAGTCCCAGTCTTCAAGATGGCCACCAGGATTATCAAGAGTAGGGGGGAAAGGGCAAAAGAAAGGACACTGAAGACACAGGAACTGCAAAGCTGGAGGGACTCCTCCTCTTTTTGGTAGAGAAGCTGAACTTGTGATGTGTTCTAGGGTCCCATCAGGGTGAAAAGGAAAATATGAGGGAAGAGGAGGGGGAACAAGACCCTGTATGCTATGGAATACCCTGAGCCAGACATAATCACCTCACTATCATTCCCTTAACTGAATTATTCCATCATCTAGGAAATGTTCATTATGCTTCCAACCACAGAGCCATGGAATTTGGAAATTATTGGAAAGAAATGCAAAATCGAGGTGTTTGTGGCTCATGCCTATAATCCTTGCTACTTAGGAAGCTAACATTTAAGGATCGCAGTTGGAAGCCAGCAGGGGCAGGAGTCTATAAGACTCTTATTTTCAATTAATGCTATAACAGCAGGAAGTGGGGCTGTGTCTCAAGTGGTAGAGTGCTAGCCTTAAAGTGTGGGGATAAAAAGCTTAGGAAATGCACCTAGGCCCTTCAAACCCCAAGTCAGAAAGAAGGAAGGAAGGAAGGAAGGAAGGAAGGGAGGAAGGGAGGAAGGGAAGGAGGGAGGGAGGGAGGGAGGGAGGGAGGGAGGGAGGGAGGGAGGGAGGGAGGCAAACAGGAAGATGGATGGAGGGGAGCAAGGGAAGGAAGGAAGGAGGGAGAAGGGATTCCTACCTTCAATGAGAAAATGGAGCCTCAGAAAAATACTATAAAATATAGTTGAAGACTTGTGAGTCAAATAGATTTGACTCTGGAATAATCATCAGCTCTTTGACTTTGGGAGTTGTCTAGTTTGCAGTCTCGGTTTCCTGGTAGATAAAGTGGGGAAATTATGCTTACCTTAAGCAATTATGGTGATTCACTTTGGTAAGTTAGTACTTTATTTATCTTCTTTCTCTTTCTCCCGACAAGTAAGCACATCAAGAAGTTAAGGACTTTTGACTATTTGGCTCCTGCTCTATGCCCAGTGCTTAGAGCAATGCCTGAAATTTACTTAGTAATGAACATTCACTGACTTATATCAAGTCTGGAATCTGTTGAGAATAATGGTAAGAACAACCATAGAAAGCCAAAATACAGTGTTTTGGGAGGCCCACATGGGGGCTCACAGCTGTTTTTATTCTAATCATTGTACTTGCAGGTAGCTTTAACAATTAATGAATATATACTTACTAATCACCTTCCTGAAAATATCTTCTTTTTTTCAGTGGAGAAAAAAACTTTCATATTTTTTACTACATCTATGCCGGTTTAGCTGGAAAGAAGAAACTAGCCCTTTACAAACTGCCTGAAAATAAGCCTCCCAGGTACTCCTCCAAGAGTTATTTCCATAATGCTATCACATAATGCTATGTAATCTCAGGTAGTTATTCTTCCTTTCATCTTTTCCTTCAGGTACCTACAAAATGACTACCTGAGAACAGTACAGGACATGACGAATAACAGCTTCTATAAATCTCAGTATGAATTAGTTGAGCAATGCTTCAAAGTCATAGGTTTTACAATGGAGGTGAGTATAAAAGACATTGGAAAGTCTTCCTTTTCTACTGTATGCATCACTGGTGTTGGCAGCCGGCACTTAGTGAGCTTAATTAATGCCAGGTTCTGTATACAGTGCTCCATGTGGTGCCCTGTGTGGTATTTATTATGAGTCTTTGATCATCATCATCATCAGCTTTGATGTTTTAAAGCTGCTTCACTGGTTGGTTTTTCTTATAAAGTTTCCAAGTATCTCTGCCTTTGTTTCCTTTTTCATTCTAGTTATATATGGATTGGGGCTTTGCTTTTTCGTTGCGACTATTTGTTTTTAATCTGAAAAAGTTTTCGATCTGGGTGTACTTACAACACTTTCTATACATTTTTGCGTTACCTGTATTATTATTAGAAGCATTATCATTATTTTTTGATGGTACCAGGGCTTAAACTCATGGCAAAGTTACTGTTCAGCTCTTTAGGTCAAGGCTGGCACACCAGCCATACCACCAGTTCCAGCTTGTTGTGGGGCTGGCTTCCAACCACAATTCTCAGTTATCTGCTTCTTGAGTAGTGAGCTGCCAGTGCCTGGCTCATTACAGGTATTATTGATTTCAGCTTTATCTTTCTTATGCTTATTTATTTAATCACTTGAAGATCTTTGTTCTCTTTCTTAAGGAGAATACTCGAATCCTCTAGTTCTTCATTTTTCGGATTTAATCATAAAAGCATGTAAGGCTATGCATTTATTTCTAATCATCTTTTGTCTCTAATACCGATTTGGGAATTTCTTTATTTCACTTCTCATTCTTGTACCAACATATCTTATTTAATATGGACTCCTGAAGGGCTTCAGAGATGCCTTGGAACTCTGGCTTAGCAGCTCAGTGCTGCTGCATGGACTCAGAGCCTGTAATGAGAGAAGACACTCTCTGAATGCGAATCAGGCTTTCAGATAAACCCTTAAGAGCAACAGAGGGAGTGGATAGAATCAAAGTTCATTAAACACGTGCAGGGGGATGTCGCAATGGAACCCTTTCATACATTTAATACATGCGGACAAAAAGAAAAAATAAACTCCTTAGGAATAGATAATGTAATTTGTTGAATTTTCATTTTTATAAATGACCTTCCTGCAGCTTTATGCAGATAAGTTATCTGCTTGAGAAGCTTACCAAGACTCCTTGTTAGTTAACAGAGCTATAAAAGTTTAAGCTAAGTAAGATTTTATATATAGGTGACTCTTCTCAAATAGTTTGGAAATTTTTACCAGCAGGACATAAAATGTGGAGGTGCTAATAGAAGGGTAACTTCACACAATTCATTCCAATTTTATGCAGTGAAGTTGATTCAAGTCATTGTATAACCTCCTTATAGAACCATGTTAACCCCTGTGCTGGTCAGCTTTCCATCACTATAATGAAATACCTGAGATGATTAACTTATTGAAAGAAAAGGCAGGCTGGGAGGTAGCTCAGTGACAAAGCACTTGCCTAGCAAGTACAACAGCCTGGGTTCAATCCCCAGTACCAAAAAAGAAAATACAGTTTAAAAAAAAGAAAAAAAAAAGACTTATTTTGCCTCACAGTTTTAATGATTCCATGTCATGACTGGTTAGCCTTGGTGGTGATGAGACAGTCCATCATGATATGTAGTAGACCAAAAGCACTTATACCACAAGTCCAGGGTTGGGAGAGGGGAGTGTCATATCCCACAGTTCTCTTTGAGAGCACACTCCCCTCCATCCCTCGAAATGACCTAAAGACCTCCCACTGGGCTCCATGTCCCAGTATTTCACCACTTCCTACCCTGAGAACCATGCCTTTAACACATAGACCTGTAGGAGTCTAAATTCTGAATTATAGAAACTACCTTCTAAAACAGAAGGCTGTCAACCCTGTGGTATAATGCATGCCTATAATCCCAGCGTTTGAGAGGCTGAGGAAACAGTCTTGTGAGTTCAAGGCAGCCTAGCTATATAGTCAAACAACAAAAAAGAAAAAGGAAGAAAGTAATAGCTCTAAAGATACAAATTTCTTGGTATAGAATATCATCTCCAAAATGTGAAACTCAGTGTTACAGATTTACATTTGTGCCTGGGTTGGCCTAGAACTATGATCCTCTTCTTCTTTAACTCCCAGGTAGCTGGGATTACAGGCATGTACCATCATGTCTATATCCCCTTACTGCCCCTATCCCCGGCCACCCCTCTCCCCGCCCCCAGGCTTCTCTTTGAAAGCTTTTGACTCCATCTTGGATAGCCTTCATGCAGAATTACAGGAGGACAGCTTCAAGATCTTGCCTGTAGGGAATGAAATATGATCCTTGTCAACAGGAAAAGGACAAGACAAATGCAAAAAAATTAATTTGAGATTAGGGTCCTGCCTAGCAGGGAATATTGAAGTAAATCCAGAATAATCTTTGTTCAGAAGGGTTCTAGAGATCCATCTGCCTAGAAGTTAATTGGTAGGACAAGAATACATAAATTAAATGAAATTCCAGTGACTTCATTCAGTCCTGCTATTTTTAATATATATGTATATATTTATTGTAAAGATACTGTACAAAGCGGTTACAATTACATGAGTAAGGTAATGAGTGCATTTCCTATAGAGCACTGTTACCCCTCCTTTGTTTTTCCCCTACCATCCCTTCCCTCCCCACCTTCCCAACTCTCCCCCCCAAGCTGTAAAGTTCATTTTCAACATAATGTCTTGTTCATCTCATTGCCAATCCTGATCTTAATAGGGACTTTTTAAAAAGAAATATTTGCTTCTGTGCAATCTTGAGAATGGACAAAGTAGAGTGAACAATGATAGAGCAAATGAAAGCTGGGTACCAGTGGTTCATATCTATAATCCTAGCTATAATCCTAACTATTCAGGAGGCTGAGATCTGAGGATCATAATTCAAAGCCAGCCCAGGTACCACCAATTAGCCAGAAGTGGATCTGTGGCTCAAATGATATAGTGCTAGCCTTGAACATAAAATGCTCAAGGACAGCACCCAGGTCCTGAGTTCAAGGCTCAGGATTCACACACACACACACACACACACACACAATTAAAATATTTCCTATTCATGTGTGAAATGCCATGGTGAAATTCCTTTGAACAATTAGCATGCACCACCAATGTAGGACAGAAATGTCAAACATGTTCTGTCAGTGTGCATCAGTACTGGTGGGAGGAAAGAAGAATATGATCAAAGTACTTTGTGAACCTGTGAAAATGAAGCAGTGAGGCTTATTGAGATTGGCTCAGAAATGGGAGGGGAATGAGGGAGAGTGATAGAAGTTATGAGTCTTATCAGGGTATATTGTCTACCTATATGGGCATGTCCAAATGAAATCCCTCTGTACAAATAATTGATGCAAATAAAAAAATTTAAAGAAATAATCAAGATTATATGAAATGAGCTTAGTCTTAATTTAAAAAGGAGACAGTATCTGTAGCAATGAATATTTAGAGTAAGTTGGTACATCTCAGAGAAAAGATTAATGGAGGAATTTCAATTTGGATTGGGTAAGCTGGGCACTGGTGGCTCATGCCTGTAATCCTAGCTATTCAGAAGTCTGAGATCTGCAGATTGCCATTCTATACTAGCCAGGCCAGGAAAGTTTTATGAGACATTTCTCTCTAATCAGCCACCAATAAGGTCAGAAGTAGAGATTTGGCTCAAGTGATAGTGTGCTAGCCTTGAAGGGAAAAAAGCTCAAAGACAGCACCAAGTACAAGCCACAGGACCAACACAATAAATATACACATATACATACATACATACGTACGTACGTACGTACGTACATACGTAGGGATTGGGTACCTTTTTTGTGTGGCCTTTCCCAAGAGCCAATCAGGAGTTATATTTCATCAGACAATTCCAACCTCACTGCTTTCACAGCCTAAAAGTTCTGAATAAACATCACTATTTTGTTTATAGAATTGTTTCATCTGCCTAAAAAGGTGAGAGGTTGAGGAGCCAGAAGGAACCTAGAACCAGAACCAAATAAGAAGTACATTTTCATAGAACCAGAGGGAAGAGCTGTCTTCTAAATGCACTGGAAAGCCAAGCTGGAACTCATCCTTTAGGCAGATACTTACTTCACTCACCAGAAGCCCTGTGTTGAAGTTGGATACCTTGTAGAGATAGGAGCCCCTCTGTGACCATCTTCTTCTCTGAATGGTGAATGGATGGACCCACCTGAAGCTTCAGGCTGACAGCTTGGGCTCTCTGCTCTGTATCTACTAAGCTATACCTGTCACCTGAGAACTGGCTGACTCTGAAGTGTCTAAGGCAGAAAAGAGATGACCAGGGCCTCTTCTCTCTGTTGCTACATTAAATAGTTTTTAGCCTAACGAACAAAATCCATTGTTGGATATCTCTCTGCAGACTTCTAGAGAAGCTTGAATACTTTGCTCTTAGGTCTATATTGTCACTAAGAAGAACTTTCTCTTCAGAGGAGACAGCACCTGTTGTTTGGGTTGGACAAAGGTTTCAACTGCTAGACAGACATTCTATCACTCGAGCCATGCCTTTATTACTTTCAATATTTTTCAGATAGAACCTCATGTTTTAACCAGAGCTACACATTTGCAATCCTTCTATCTATGCCTCCTGGATAGCTGGGATTACAGACATGTGTAGCTTGTTGAATGGGCTTGCTAATTGTGTGTCTGACTGACCTCAAACTGTAATCCACTTAATCCACCTTGCTCATAGCTGGGATAATCAGCATAGGCCATCATACTCAGCTTCAGCCCCTAGTTCTTACAAGGTCCAGTCTGTGAATCTTATTCTCCTATCACCCTTCAAAAGGCATTAGAAGAGTTAGATAGGGTGACTGGATTGATACATGGTGACAAGATGGTCTACTTGGCTAGTAGTATCCTTTGTGGAGCAGCAGGATTAAACTGAGGATTGAGTAGGAGTCGAACAAGTGAGAAATGAACACCTGGGTGAAGGACAGAGCAGCTCCCGTCTCTGATGAGCCATCTATTCTAGAGAGCGATGTCGTCATTGTGCTGAGAAGATTCCACA